TTAAAAAAATCAGCTGCTAATTGGAACGTCGCGTTGGCGGAGGTATCAGCGGGTTCACTTTGGCAATTCATGTCGAGAGACGTGGTTGTAGAAGTCCTTCAACCTGATGATGAGCTAAAAGGCTCGAAATCCGGATCGTTGCAAAACAACTTACTGTGAGTAGGAACTATCCTTTTAAAAAGTATTGAAAATTCATCCTGTCATCAAAGCGTGATAGCATTGCAAGTATGCAATAGAACAAAGCAATACCTTCCAGGTGAAATTACTTCAGATGTCTTAGTATTAAGTCCTCTTGTTAACAGTTTCTTATTACAGAGATTCATAACATTACTTTGGATTTCACAGAATACTGACGATATAGAAGGAAATAACCTGCAAAGGCGGATGGATTACAAGTGTGGGATTTTTTTGGGTTAGTTTATGTAAAAAATCTAATCAGGGTTCATTAAGAACTTATGTATGTCTAAAAAGGAAATAATATACAATATTTTAACGTACAACGATTTATTTTACTAATGTAATAGCAGAACTAAGATAATGGGACGAAATAAACGTACTGAAAACTAACCTTTTTTAATAAATAATATTTATTTTTAATCAAACTATTCAAAAGATTAAATATCATTCTACTTTGTTTGACCAGAAATAGATGTTACACAATGCAGAAATCTTTCATGCATTAAAAATCTTGATCAGGGTGCTCGGAAAGAGTAGGAGAATCCGTTCGAGCCGAGTCTTCTGTAAGTACTGTAGTTATCCTCTGATATTTGGTTTGATCTGAATCCTTCTTCGTCAGCTACGTACTCGACTCTGATCATCCGTCCATCTGGAGAAGGGTAAGAATAACTGCCCGTGACTTTCTTAACCTGTTTTCCCTCGTCGGAAATCTCAATGACTGAACTTTCTTCTCTCATGATTCCATCGGCCGTTTCGTATCTATAAAAATCAATTTCGGAAAATTCAATTCATAAATTTTGTACCTATTTATAATAAATCTCACTTATATGAGTATGTTCCGTCATTTGCCATTTCGTTGGTATAGGAGAGGATTGGATAGGCCGACTCCAAAGGCTTTTCCGTTTTCACATCTGCCTTCTGCACCGTGTCGAGATTCTGAGACCGACTCAATCCTCTTCCCCTCGGTTCAGTTTGGGATTGAACATAGACAGGTCTTAACACTCTAGGTGAGTAAGAAACTTCCTGGAAAACGGGAACACGATACGGCATACGATACTCTGGTAATGGTCGGATATAATGACCCTTCTGGCATTCTCCTAGGCCGGCAATGATTAATAAGACTGCAATCGCCTGTAAAATTACGTAACTGCAATTAAAACACTATTTACTATGCCCTTCGTAAAAAAATGAAGGAATTTAATTTTTGTTTAAATAGTTATAGTTGATTGGTTGTGCGCGATGACGCTTCGATTATCACTAATTACAAATTATGTAATACTTTTTTTTTTACAGTTTATACTCTGAGCAGATCTGATTGTCAATAAAATATCGATACTTTCAATATGGTTTTTTGACTATAGACTTTTCTCCTATTTTCTGAAGAAGAAGAAATCGGAGGTGAAAAGTGCACCAAAATAAAATAAAATTATCCATTGTACGTGAATGTTTATTTTCCTTTAACCTATTGAATAAACAAACATAGAAATAAATAAAACATACATGGAACACACACCTTGATGTAAGTGTATACAATTATTTATCCTCCAACTTTAGTCTTAATATCTTTCAATTAATTGACTAAAATCCTGAATTAATTGAAAGATATTAATTTGTCAAGCGGACGAAAACTAGTGAATTTAGTCTTAATGGTTTACTGTATTGTTAATGTGTTCCTCAAAAGTAGATTCAACGTTAACAATCCTTATCTTCCAACTATATACCATTTTCCCTTTAAAACAAAATAAGTTGATGTTAAATACAGTAACTTCTACAAAGCCTTTGATTTGGTAGATCACGGTGTGTATTCATTCTGTTATGGCTAGGTGTCTAAACTATACTGTATTTTTTTATTTATTTTTTTTTCCGGCTTCCGACATCTAGGTCATTTCAGACCCAAACTAAGTTAATTAGTAATTGTATTTACACTTTCAAACACTACATTCATACAAATAAATACATTCATACAATACACTCATTCCATTTGGTCGGTGGAGTACTTGATATTCCTCCACCGACCTATACTCACACTAATCTAGATTGGGGTCGATGGAGTACTTTTACAAATATTCCGCCATCAACCCGAACACACACTCACACGCTCTCAACGTTCGAGGGGCGATGATGATGTTGTATTTCACCCTCACCCCTCGCTATGTATTTATTCACGCTAATAAATACATGCACTCAGACAAAACATATATACACACAACACATAAGACATACTATATGCAATAAAAAAACCCTAATTTCCCCTAAAAAGCGGAACAGGGGACCCTGAAACTCGCTGCAGTGCTCGAGAACCTTTCTTAAGTCCGGCGGCATGCCTACACGCTCTCTGTATGGCGCAAAGGCATGACACGCCTCTATTATGTGGGACACATCGAGCAACTTTTCTCTGCATAAGGGGTACCTGCGCGGGCTTCTCACTGTGTTTGTGTCACTGTGTTAATTGTCACTGTGTTACATTTCAATGTTTTTCATGGTTTAAATGTTCTTTGTTTTTCTTGTAATTGTTGTAATAAAATGGGCCATTAACCGTAAATAAATTAATAAATGTGTCCTAATATCAGTACATAAATATTATTCTGCTTAATTATAATTATATAGTGCATAATTAATTGTTAAAATAAAACTTGATTGTTAATCTTTTTTGATATCTTAAACATTATTAGATCCAATTATATTATGTACTATGTGCGTAAAGAGGTAAATTTCCCAGGTAGTTGTTTTCCGCCTTCAACCGATTGTTTATACCATTCCGCATCACTTATGAGTACTTCTGTCCCAGCTTTAAGGCTTATTTAATTTTGGCTTTCTTGCCCGTTCTATTCGCAGATCCTGATCCCGAATCAGCTCCTGGCACGCGTATTGCGAATAGCCGAATGTAGCAAACCAGGCGTATTAAGACAAATGAAAGCAAATGGATCCATGTTACCTTCAATTTCCTAAACAAAACCCCTCACACAATTTTTATCAATAGTATTCCAATCACTAAAATTGACGTCTGTAATTCCTTTTTTTCTTTCCTGTTTCATGTTTTTCGAACCGATACATAGAATTAAAAGGACAGGAATTAAACAGACACTTTGGACTACTTGCAAATTAATTTTTTTTTGTTATTATTAATGGCTTTATGTTCTATGCATATTAGCCAATGACAGACAATATGTTACGCCTATTCGTTTTGGGGGGAAGGGTATCGTGAAAAAAAGCCAGAGGCGACGGCAGGAATTGAACCCACGACCGCGGGGTCTACGAGCCGAGAGTCTCTCACGCAATTGTACTTGCAAATTAATCAAACATAAAGTAATAGAAATAACAAATTGATAAAAACAATGTACAAAACTTCACTAAAACCTATTTTGACATAACGGACAACAAAACCATCAAAATTGTTCCTCATCGTCTAAACCAGGAAAACAAAAATCTACCTCTCAATCAGCAGACCAGAATTAAGGAAAATAATAATACTTTTGTAGGGAGGCATCTGTGGCTGCAACGGGTTAGACATTGACAAGGCGCTCATCACTGTAAGGCAAAGGTCCCGGGTTCGAATGCTTGTCACTGGACATACTTATACTTACAGTTTTTTTTTGGTTTTTTTCAAAACACCCTGAGGGTTTATATGATCTCTGCTGTTGCGGACCCTCCTAAAAAAATATTTCTATGCTGGCCATTACCGATTTAATTACTACCTTTAAAAAATGGAGTTTTGTTGATAAACTGATTATGGATCTGCGACTTCTTAAGTCCGGACCGACAGCCAACTACCAATAGGTAACTTTTTCATTAAAGCCAATTAATGTAACATTCATAAAATAGAGATAGAATCGGCTGGTATGATAATTACACAGCTGCAGGTAAATAAATGAAATTAACTTTTTCACTTTTCATAACTGAGTGTACTAAACTGCATAACTTCAAAGTATGTAAAGACTGCAGAAGCATGAAAAAATAAGGCATATTTTATTCAACGTTTATGGCAATTAATCGTTAGTGTTTTGTAAGAGTAATATTTACAACTTTTATATGAGTTAGTGTTGTCGCATGCATTTTATTGCTTGAAAGGTCTAATGTTTAGTAACAAGTACTGTTTAACAGCTAGTGTCCTGTTTTATACATTGTACGTATATAATGACGAACAATAATTCTTATCATTGTCCTAACCATACAATTTCATCTTTGTGTATTATGTCGAATTGTTAATAAACAAAACTTCATCCTTGTACATAACGTCAAATTGTTAATTAGCCATGTTAATATAAGTTATATTTATTTTGTTCTTCAAATATAAACATATTGTGTTAAAGAAAAAATATTATTGTATAATTACTGATTTCATAAGAATATAATAATGATTTTACAACGTATCCTGCGTCATAGCGTTGTCTCAGCTCCTCTCAGGAATGATGATGTACTTGGATCGTTTCCGATAAAGAAAAGTCCAAAACATTTGGGAAACATCTCTCCGAGGTATTCAAACCTCATAACATAATGAATACTGAACACGATAAATTTATCAGATTCACTTGTGACACCTATGCCCCTAGATCTGCAACCTAAACCAATAACTCCAAAACAAGTATCACAAGAAATACAGCTTCCTACAAAAAAATCACCCGGTCATGATTCGATAACAGCTGAAGTTCTTCAAGAAAAAGTCCAAAAAAGCAATCGTCTTTCTGACTTCTTTATTTAACGCAATTTTGAGGACTAACTTCCCCATACAATGGAAACTTTCTTACATTAAAATGATCCCAAAGCCCCATAAAAATTTAAGGTCCCCATCATCTTATCGTCCTATTAGTTAGTTACCCGTTCCTTCTAAATTATTCGAAAAATTAATTTACAAAAGAATTATCTCTAATGCTACTTCGAACAACATCTTACCAGACCATCAATTAGGCTTTCGAACCCATCATTCCACCACTCATCAACTTCACAGAATGACAGATTTCATTATTTCGTGTCTCGAGCAGAAACTGTACGCGACTGGAGTGTTTCTAGATGTTTCTCAGGCCTTCGGCAAAGTATGGAATGAAGGATTATTATACAAATTAAAATTATTTTTACCCCAGGCCTATTATCTGATTATACAATCATACCTTAAAGAGAGATTTTTCGCAGTAAACCAGGGTACGAAGACTTCTGGGATGGAAGAAGTGCTTGCAGGTGTGCCACAAGGGTCAATACTCGCTCCGCTGTTGTACACAATTTTTACTTCTGATATGCCCACAAATGAGAATGCACTTACCGCCACATACGCAGATGACACCGCCATGTTAACCAGCCATCTCTCTTCTACACAAGCTTCACTCGTGTTACCAAACCACATATCAACAATTGAAAAATGGAAAAAGTTTAATCCCTCAATGTCAGAACATATCATCTTTATCCTCCGTCGTGAGACTTGTCCTAGCATATACTTATACAATGAACCTGTACCTCAATCCGACAAAGTTAACTATTTAAAACTTACATTTGATAGAAGACTAACTTGGAATCCACACACACGATTAAAAAAAACAGACACTGAACAAACGATTTAAAATTCTTTATTACCTACTCAACCGACAATCAAAATTACCATTAAAATCAAAACTTTCGACATACACATACCTACTCAAACCTATTTGGATGTACGGGTGCCAAGTATATGATCGGCCAAGTATTCCAATATTCAAAGATTACAAAGTTTTCAATCCAAAATTTTAAGACTAATTGTTTCTGCCCCTTTTTACGTAAACAATAATACACTTCACAGAGATCTTCAAATCCCAACAGTTTTTTCATCCATTAAAACATATTACAGACGTTTTCATAGTAAATTACAAACTCACACCGACACACAAATACGATTCCTCCATTCCCCACAATTACCTCGTAAACGTCTGAAAAGAATATGGATAAGAGACTTCTTAAATGATTAATATCATTTCATTAATCCAGAGCGGCTGCTAATGGGTAGCTTTCTCTATAACGCCCATAATGCCAAACATATAATTTGAAATCCAATCTGCTGGTTGTATATAATACATGTACGGTTGTAGATACAAATAAATGAAAAAAAAAAATTGTTTACATTAACTTAGAAAATCATCACTTTTTCGCCTTCCTTGACTAACTAGGCTAACCCGCATAACTTGAAAGAGCTGAAATACTGTAGATGCAACGCCTGGTTAGTCCAAAAACAATTGTGTTTAAAAAATCAAAAATTGCTTTAAAATTTCAATGAATAATGAAAACTATATTTTTTTAAATTTCATTTATTTGTATCTACAACTGTACATGCAGTACAAAATAAAATGATCAATTCTATTGATTAATTACTGGTCAGTTAAACAACTTACGATCATGGTGATGCGTTGAGTGATATTAATTACACAATGAAGTGGACCACTCTGCAGCCGGTAGTTTATATAGGGAAGGCTCATTTGCGCGCTGCCGTCTTCTTGTTGCCGGTGGCATTCAAGTCACCTGACGTGACAATGTGCCTGTATTGACTTAAGGTTCGCCGACCTCCACCGCCCTAGGGGCAACTTTTAACGAACAATCAATCGAGGGTTGCTCGCCGACCTCCAGGCGTCGACTTCGAAAAACAAACGATGTCCCATGGACAAAAACGAAAGGTAATTTCAATTAGTTCCATTATGATGTCCTCTTCTTTAGAATTCCTCTGATCGGGTTTTCAAATCATCCGGTAGTAGAGAAAAACGGTATTTTTGCGAATTCTTTTTCACAAAATACAATACTTAAACATTGATCGACGTTTATGTTAAAACATAAATGTTTTCGTGTGCACAAGACCTAAACCTAGCATAAATATTTTTGTTCTGATTTAAGCAAGACATGCAATAAGTAACTTTACTCAGGGCAAACATTCACTTAACATAATCCCTAATTTTTTATTGTTATACTTTTAATTGGTTAATCTCCAGAAAGCACGCCAAATCAAGACAGTGTTGAAACTTAACGCAACTAGATTTTAGCTAAAACTATTGAATTATTTTTTGTTTTCACTGTTACCAAACTTATTTGGTAGTTTATTAATATTACAACTATTACAAATAATTTAAATATAGAAACAAATTACCTCTTCTTGGCTGGGTACGAATCCCGCTCGTGGCAATAACTTTTTCATCTCAACCATTAACTTACGAAAAAAGAATAATTAATTGAAATAAGTAATTTTATCAATTAGACTACTAAATGGATTAATATATAAACAAAGTTATGCCCAACGTTAGAACTCGATTTCTCAAAAGTCACTGGATGAGTCTAGTGATTTGCAACTGAAACGCTAATAGCCAATTATTTATTAAGCGTTTCAACATAGATAATTCAATATAATATAAATTCTATTTTAAACTATTTTTTGTATTATTGCTTTTTTAGTCGCTCAAACCAGCCACCTCGCAGCAGGAGAAATGCATTGTGAATTCAGGACGTGTTTTTGTTAAATGCAAACTTTTAAAAAACATTTAGGATAATATGAGAGTAAAAAGTAGTTTTCATAATAGAGATTGATAATCATAATTGTTCTAACTGAAAAAAATCAAAATAAAAAGAGAAATCTTAATATTATCTTGCAGTAATTGTATTTTTTTCTTACATTATTCGTGTATATCGGCTATTAATTTTATTATTAATATGGCTTATATTTCGGATCATGTACAATCTTTCTATGTTTTCCATTTTGAGGATGTAAATATCATTGTAATTACCCATTTCTTCTGCACAGAAAAAGCAAATCTCAGAGAACGTTCAACGGGTTAGTGATTACATGCCAATTTGTACGATATATGCTCAGTCATCCCGCATCACAAGCCTTCTCATCTAATCTAGGAAAAACCTTGTTAATATATCCCTCCAGGAAGTAATAACCGCTTCGAAAACAGTTCCAAATATGAAAAAAGAGTTGTCATGTTTTCAAATTGCATTTTTTTATTCATTTATTTTTATCTACAACTGTATCAAATATAATAAATATAAATAAAAATAGAATGGTTCGCATGTCCGAGGTAATAGTTGTTTACCATAACATTCAGTTTAGCCCTAGTATGATCGTTTGACATCCTGGTCCATTTTCGCTGTTTTACTCAAAAAAAGATTCAGTGAGTAACAAGGCATTGATTTTTTTAAATCCGTTTTCAGCTCAATATTGTTTTCTGTTATATAAGCGAATATAATGTATTCAAGAATATAAGCACAAATTAGGCAATTATCACAATGTAGATAAGGAGTAAACTGTCGGGTGGTATGCAACAACAAGCATGAAGATTTTGCAATAACCTGTTCATTCGCTTGCGTTCAACCACTACAAAGATGATTCTCTTATTTTATAATTAAAAACATAACAAAAATGAAAGTTTTTTTTTTGTAAAAAATACTATTGTTAGGTTACGTTTCAAAGAATTTATGACATATTGTGATTTAAAATAAGTTGTTTTTTCTATGATCTATTTTTTATCTTGACCCACTTTAATTCACATATGGAGGCAACCTGAAACACATTTTTATAAAAAGTAGTCTTTCAGCACTCCGAAATCGATACTTGTTTCAAAAATAAAGACTACTTTTTATAAAAGTGTGTTTTGGTTGTCTCCGTCTATGGAATAGAGTGTGTCAAGTTAAAAAATCAATTTTCATAACAACCTACAGAATAGAATAATAATAACAATATTATAAAGATAAGCTAAAATAGTTTTTATAAATTAATATCCTTTGTTAACAAGATAATATTTTTTTTAATTTGTTTTCTTCGTAACATTAAGATAAATCTTATGCATATTACAATTGGTTCATGTAGGGTGAGAAGTAATAGCAGTCAGGCAAATTAACAGCCATAAAATACGCCAAAGTTACAAGATTGGAGAAACTACCCAATGTCAGTTCTACATAAATAGACAGGACACTAATGTCATATTCATAAGATCATTTATTTCAGACTTTTACTCATTCTCGCCGCCATTGTCACTGATTAAGAGATCTCCAGGCTATTGACTATTTAATTTGCGAGTAGGTTTGGATGTAATTTGGCGGGATGATAGGGTATGGTGTTTCATTTGAAGCATACAAATTTGTTTGAATATGGTATTTAAAGGAGTCTTTCGTTAGCCAGTGGATCCTTTGTCAAAATATTACGAGAAGATTTTTTATTGTTTTATAAGTTTGTCGTTCAAAGCGTATATGATGATTCAATCGTTTTTTATCCATCGTACATCACTAGGTATCTCGTCGGTATTTTTTTGTCTGCAAATTAATTTCAACTTTTTTTTCTACGCACCTAAATTCTAACAGTCGGAATGATGCTACGGGCATTCAGACGAAAACACAGGATCGATATTGCATAGCAGATCTGCTTTGTCACCAAGGAAGAGTACTTGTGACATGGAATATCAGCTGTATACACATGAAACAGTGTCACAACTGAAGGTATAGCATATAACTCGGCAAAACAGTTCAGTTAGAATGCTGTGACGTGTTAGTGTTAGTAGGAATGGAGGTAAAATCAAGAAAGTTTGAAATTATAACTTTCCTTAGAGTTTCATGTACATACATTACAAATATCGTACATTACATTTTTAATGTCATTTCTGTATTCTTCTCGTCAAAACGGTGATAGTTGTCTGGATATCTGTACACATAAATCTGGAGGGTAACTGAAAAGGCGGACAAGGCAGCAAAGCCCAACAAGTCCCAATCTCCGCACTTAACCACGGCGAGCCCCCTGACGCTACAAATGCAATAAAAAACATGATTATTCAGAAATCGTGAGTTGCGGTCTGGTGTGATGTAGGTTTCAGAAAAACATTTTCTTTATCCTGCCAACGTTTCGATCTTTATTGAGATCATCTTCAGGGCTCAAAGAGTTTGTCTTCTGTGTAATTGTGCCATTCTTGCGTGTCGTGTTGAGAGTGCCCGAGTACACGACACGCAAGAATGGCACAATTACACAGAAGAGAAACACTTTGAGCCCTGAAGATGATCTCAATAAAGATGAAACGTTGGCACGATAAAGAAAATGTTTTTCTGAAACCTACATCACGCCAGACCGCATCTCACGATTTCTGAATAATTATCGATTAACGGTCACTAATCACCACACATAAAAAACATGGTTAAAATAAAGTGGCAGAGTCTGGTGCTGGATCGGCGGGGAAGCTCTCGCATAGCAAGAGCACTATCAATAGGTGGATCTCGGAGAATCTGATTCCTATAAGAAAGGTTAACCTCACCCCATTAAGAGTAGAAAAAACAAGGTTGACACACGGACACTTACTTTTTGGCCAAACCCCGAGTAAGGGTTCATTTTATACCAAATTCAGTTTTATTCCAACAACAACACTTGGGGGCGTCGGTGGCCGCAACGGTTTAGACGTTGACACGGCGTTCATCACTGAAAGGTAAAGGACCCGGGATTGAATCCAGCGACCCTGCATTCGAACCCGACATACTTACAAATGGGCTTTTTTTCAAAAACACCGGCCCCCGAGGGTTGATATAACCTCTGCTGTTGCAAACCCTCGTATAAAAAAAGTATGAATGGGTTTGGACTTAGGAACTGATTGCATCGGGGGCTGAAATGACCTAGCTGTTAATAGCCACTGCTGCCCAACCTCGGAGGTCTTTTTCTGCACCCACTAAACTAGGGGTGGTATTCTCCAGGCCTGGCGACAATTTAAGTACAAACACTGAATTTCAGATTTTTTGGGGTTTTTACTATTTGTATACATTTACTTAAGTATAATTCATGTAGGTTTTACTATGGATTTGTAATATAATCTTTTGTTGGCCAGAGGATCGTTTGTGTTTCAAATATGAGAGGAGTTTGTATTGTTCCATCAGGTCTTGTTGGTTAACAAGTGTTTAGATTACACAGGTGTTTATCTATTAATAATTATGGCCTATTAATAAAGCCGACTGACGTCACATACGTGTAATCATTTCCGACACGTTTGGATTTGGCGTAATTATATAATTATAGCAATATAACATTTTTGACTATTTTCAAATGAAATGAGTTCAAAATTTGTGAAACGTGCGGGGGTAGTAAATCTGGAACCTGCCAACCACTGAAGAACTAGTTAGAAGACGTACAAATCAACCAATGAAGATATATACATTTATTTATATATACATACGGATCAAAGATCCTTTTATAAAGAATATAAATCAAGAGGTTATAAACAATTTAAGTAGCAGATAAACAAAATTGATAAAATAACAAAAAAACAATAAACTTTAACAATAATCCATTCATATTTTAGTGGTCAATTGACCAAGTTACTTCTTTCAATTAATTATTTTTTTTATGTAAGGTTTTGGTTGAGATAAAAAGTCAGTGTCACGAGCGGGATTCGAACTCACGACCTTCGGCTAAATACGCCGCTACTCTAC